GCCACACCCGGCCCGCGTCCCTCCCGCCGGCTCCGGAGTCCCCCGGCCGGCCGGCCCCGCTCACCAGTCCCTGCGGGAGGCGCTTCCCGCCGCGGAGCGCAGCAGTCGCGCGGCCAGGGCCCGCAGGAGTGGCCGCACAGCCGACCACTAGCTCAGCCGCCACGGAAACCGCAGAGCTGGCGCCGCGACCCGGAAGTACTTATGGAACCAGGAAGTGACCCTGCCGGAGCCCCGCCCCCTACGCCGCTGGGGGCGGGGCGACGCAGAGGGGCGGGGCCCCGGAGCCTCCAGACCCGGGCGGGGAGGGCGCTGACCTCTCTTGAGAATCGTGGTTTGCACTTACTCCTCTGCGCGATTAGCTGCAGTTAAAGGACGGGCATTCATATTTTATGGCTGGGTTTTACTGTGGACAACCTTGCAATATTAAATTGAAGGCGAATTGTAAAAATTATCGTAGAGGAAATTCCACCCCATTCAAAAATAGGGCTGAAATAAATGTAGTCCTATAGGCTCTTAGCTTGTGATTCTTCTGTTTCCTCTGGCAGAGTTTGCGTTTAAAACTTGTGCTCATTTGCCAGCCACACTTGTCTTTCTGCGGTTCAGGACCCTAAGGGGAGTAAATACAGCAGTGAGGTGCACAGCAGTTGGGCCCAGAGCAGCTGCCTACTGATTAATAGGAGCAAAAACCAAAAAAATCACCTCTGCCACAGGTACCCTACCGGGCCTGGATTTGAAACAGCTCATTTGGGCCAGGTCTTATTTTCTTATACTCTCATCCTTGGACCCCCCCATAAACCATGAAATGTTTGCTTACACTTTCAACAATATTAAAGACCAACGCAGACCTGTTCACTCAAAGAACAGGAAGCATCGGAGTATAAAGGACAGTAAAGGTCTGAGGTTATTTGAAAAGCTTATTAGATAATTCAATGTAAAAATCTGTAGCATAATGAGGCCAAGTGATAAAATGAGACAAATACCAACTTCCAAGTAATTTAAATTTATTAACGTTGGAAAACTGCAACAAAAAAGGGACACACATTACTGTACTCCTAAAAGGTCAAAGGAAAAGAAAATATTGTCTCCTACATTGTAAGACCAATACTAACACTTCTGACAGGGACCTCACCAACACGTAGCAGACAGACAGCAAAGTTTAATTTTCACACTGAAGTGACAGTTCTAGTCAACACCAATCTAACACAGGTCACAGTTTCTTCAAATGACAGCATGCGAACTTGTGGTAAGGAACATATTTCTGAATCCGTATTTAAGTGCACTGCTACCCTGAATTGTGTTTTACGGGAATCGTGTCTCAAGGGTTGGGCCAGTCAGTAGCCCTGAATACCACTGATACTTACTAGGCAGGCTTATATAAACTGTCAAGCAACTGCTAAAAAAGGACCCTAAAGTAGCTGATATTATCCAAGTTCCTTTGTCAAACTGAACATGAAATGTTTAAGAACTTCAAAAGCAGGGGCCGGGGAGATGGCTCAGCGGAATAAGCGCTTCCCTGGCAAGCTCAAGGGCCTGAGTTCAATCCCCAGTTCTGGAAAAAAAAAAAACAAACAAACAAAAAAAACAACCCAAAACCTTCAAAAGCAAACATGGCTTCTGAAGCAAACATCTTGATACTTCTGTTCATTAACTTGAAAGCAAACTCGTGAAGGCTATATGGGATGCTTTCACAGTATTTTTAGCTTGCAAAACAACACGTGTAATGTGTCGTTACTATTACATGTAGTTGTGATAAGCTGTTCTGTTGCAATCTCAGCGCTGCTCCTTACTGTCTCATATACCACTTTATTTTCTCTTGCCATCCAGACTCGTGGACTTCTGGTGAAGATTCTAACTTTACACTGCACCTCCAAAAACTAGCCCGGGAGGGTGCTGCCCTCCTCCCTCTGCGCTCTGCCCAGGGCCCTTGACTCCTCTCCAACAACACAAATTCCAAGCCCTGCGGCAAGGTAAATTCCTCAGTAGCAAACAGGCCCAACTCACTTTACTTCCTTTTACTTATCACTCCATTCCTCTGAAATTTGTGACAATTTCTCAAATCTCTCTATAGGAGGGTGGTGGGGGTAGCGGTGGGAAGGGGCACAACCCTTGGCTGAAATAAAAAATGGGCTGTGGTCATCTCTGAAGTCAACAATTTTCTACTTACAACATGGGAAAGCAAGCGCTGGAGCTGCCACAACCCCCCATGTTCTCCCAGAGGTACCCCAATACTAATTCATCCGTCAACCGAAGGAATCTGAAGAGCCACCTCTGCACTAGCTCACCTTTCCGAATGCCCTGAGCACTCACACAGCCAAATCGTAACACTATAGTTCCCTCCAGCCTATCCGGAAGCAGGCCTTTTACTCCTAAGTTTTGGAACTGTGGTTGAAAAAACCACTCTGCTGTGGCGGTTTACTGATCCATCAGCCAGTTTCAGTGCTACATTCAGTGCAGCTGGCAGGGACGTCCGGGCCAGTTCTTGGTTTCTTTCCCTCTTCCCTGCCTGCCCTTCCAGGCCTGAACGTCCAGGCCCACACATGCCACCCAAGCGCTCCATCGCCAAGCTGCGCTGCCAGCCCACGAGTCTAGTATGGACGCAGAGCTTTCCAGCTGAGAAACAGAAAATCACAGGCTTGACTACTACTGACGCGAGAGCATTATAATTTTAACCCAGTCCATTCAAATTTGCCTCTGTAGTGAGACAGAAGGCAGAGGAAAGCACCCACGCTCATCCCAGGTCTTTTCTCCCTCAGCACACGGTCTCCAGGGTTCGTGCTGGACCCAAGGAAGGGCATCCCCAGCTGCCTGGTGCAGCGCCCTCAGCCACTCGGTCAGGGGCGTCTTAGAGCTAAGCCCTTATCCCTCTTCAGCTACTACCTAGAATCCTTTCTTCTTGGCCTCTCCACCCCACTGGTACTGCTGACCACTAAGCGCACAAGGGGGCTCCATATCATGCAGCCCCTCAGTGCATGATCAGCAGAATGCAGCATCCAATTATTCACACCTCTTAAGAGAAATTTTTGACTAAAAAAGGGACTCACAGCTGGTTACAGAAAGAGCAAATTTAACCATTTAAGTTAAATCCATGACCCCAGTAGAACAGAATTGGATGTACTTTTTCCTAAATCAGTAATGGAAATTAAAATGGATAATAAGGAAAAATGTTACATAATTACAAATTAAAACTAAACTTAAATCTTTTCTCCGAATCTACTAATTATCATCTTGAGTCTTGCAGATATGAAACATTTATTGCAGGTCTAACCCTGCAGCAGCTCCCATTAAGGTGCAGATTAAAACAGGCACCCTTTTAAGGCACCCTTTTTACAGCCTGTCCCTTCCACTGTAACTCGTGTCATCAATGTTCCCTCTGAATCATAATGTTTTGACAGCATTAGGCTACCTCTATTTAAAAAAAATTAGAAAAACAGCACTTTCCCCAAATGTTCTACTTAGGAATGATGACTCCAAAAGTTAATAAGCAATAAAAAGTTTCAGTTACGCTTTACATTTTTCAAATTCAGGAGCTAAGGGCTTAACCTGGTGGAAAATCACCAATCAGAATGTTCCACTTGCTTTAAGAACACCGAGACACACAGACAAGGCCACACACACTGTTCCGACCTGCACGGCGTCTAAGCGCGGCCTGACCTACATCACATTTGCAGCCCTCACGCGCTGAATCCAGAGAGCACGCGGAGCGGCTCCTCCCCACTGCCTTCCTCAACTCACAATGTCCCTACGGTGGTGGCTGGGGCTGAATTTACTGTAATGCCTCCAGGCAGGACTGCTGTGGCTGAGCTGAGAGGCTGCTGAATGAGACTTCATCCAGAGAATCCTCCAGCACCTCCTGGGCTAGACTTTAAGTTAGCAGAATAACATATGGCCGAGGGGAAAGTAAAGCAAAGAAAAATTCCCTTTTGTAAGAGAAACTTTATGCTAAAAACTGCCAGCAGCATAGCCCACGCCTACGTTCAGTACGGGCAAGAGCCACTCTTGGGAGCCGTGCACATGCCTGGTTTCTGCTGCCCTGGAAGTCACTCTGGGACAGCAACGCACAGGATGGCGGGACAGTGTCTGCACGTGTGGAGGTAGGGCGCACGCCGCGTACCCTTGTGCTGCGCAGGCACAGGACACGGGTGGGACCATCGATGTCTCTGTGGGTAATTAAGCTGTCTGGCAGTACAATTTATTTCAATGTAAAGGTAATTATAAAATAAGAAACAAGGAGCTTAAATGCTTGTATCAAACATGTTTTCCCAAAGAATACAAGAAAATGATGCCCTAAGACTTACAAAAGTAACCTCATTTACAGAACCGTCCAACACGATTTGACTTGAAAACATACCGTATCTTACTCGGTCAAACCACCACTGAGTTCAAAGGACCGCCACAGAAGTGTTTTGGTAAAGTGCCACAGTGAGAGCGACGTTCACAGCAGCCCCCCGCGTGCCCAGGGAGTGGCAGGAAAGCCCCCATACCCTGGGCACCGCGCGCTCGGGGCAGCGCTCTGAGCACACCACTTAGTTCACATCAGTGAACGAGTCCAAGACTTGGCGACAGCTCTGACTCTGGGCCAGAAGACAGAATGCCCCAAGTATACATATATACAGACCCTCATTTCTAGCCGCTTAAGTTCTCTAGTTCTGAAAAATGGCTTTTTGACTCATTTTAAAAAGGAGCAAATGTGCAAGCCACTTGTGTTTGCACTTTGGAGTTAAAGAACTGTACACGTCAAGCGAGCTCAGGACGGCACTAATCTATCTATATCTTTGGGTATCATAAGACTCAGTTTCACTGTCTCCTGCCTTAGAGCAACTTAACTTTCTAAGTTACCCAGGAAATGTATTCAACCATTTAGAAAAACAAAAATTCTAACATGCACTTATAAAATGGTCTTATTTACCTGCATATTCTTCCACAAGATAGGTATACATTAAAAAATATTGTTCAAAAACATAAAAATATATATTATTTCTTTCCTTTACCATTTATGCATATAAATACTTTACTGAAGATGCATTATTCAACAAACAAATGCATGAACTGTTTTATATAAAGTGTAGTTCTCTGCTATTTAGCAACAGAAAATACAAGTGATACAATGCGAGTAGCCACCAAAGAGCTACATCCGGGAGATTGAAAAACCAGGACAGCAGCTAGCAGGCCCTTACACAAAGTCCGTTAAGCAGTCAAATCAATTTGCCACAGATTACACAAAATACAAGCCAGCAAGTGCATCGCGAATGCACGGCAGCATGTGGCTGCACCACGGCTGCAGTCTTCAGCCTGGCGTGCCCTGCAGGCCACGCTCACTGCTCACTTTTCGGTTCATCTTGTCTTCCATTTAGCTCTTGGTCAACCCTGTTGAATGAAAAATACAAATAAGATGCCAGCAACTCAACAACTGCCTTTCTAAAAGCAGTGATTACTTCCAGCATAGAATATGATTCTGTTAAAAAACAAAGCTTTGCAAAGAAGCAGACAGTAAAAGATTACCAAATATTATTTTTCCCAACCAAAAGCGGTAACAGGAGTTTAGGGCAGGAGGACACGGGCAAGAAATGTGACTGCCGTTTCTCTTAAAGACTATCAGCTGCACACAGGCACAGGTAACGTCCTCGGAGGGTCACAGAGCCTGGCTGCAGCAGGATCCGAGCGCTGCGGGACTGGCAGGTGGGAACATGACTTCCTCAGAAATGCCTTTGTGAGGTGGAACAGCAAAGTGTCACTAAGGGTACCAACGGATCAACTAATGTTTTTAGGTTGAGAAATAAAAATGCACATTCACACAAGTCTGCAAAATGTACTGGTATACTTCATGAACATCTCTTATTGATTTTGGTAGTAAAAGACCATGAGAATTCAACATTCAGAAAGATCCAAGTATGCATTAAAGATCTCACTGGCTTAGTTGTGGGCTGGAGAGAGGGCCTCCCAATTTGGGATTAGAAGAATGACCTAAGACCACACAATGACAGCCAACGCTTCAACGATAACACACAACAGGCTAATACGTATCTGTTGTGGTGTGAATAACCCATGTGTGGAGAAGGTTAGAACCTTAAAGATAGAACAGGCGTGAGGGTGCATGTTCATAATCTTAGCACTCCGGGAGGCTGAGGCAGGAGAACTGCGAGTTTGTACCCAGCCTGGGAAATTTACTGAGAACTTGTTGCAAGATAAATAAAAACGGATGGGGATACAGCTCAGCACACGGGCTCTGGGCTTGATCCTTAGTACTACAAAAATAAAACAAAAAAAACCAAAACACCACAAAAACCAGCTGGTAAGATGGGAGAAGATACGTTCTGCACTTGCTTCCATTACTGCAATCGCGCGATCACTTAGAAGTCAGTCGATCAGCAGTGAAAGCCCCAGGCCTCTGTAAAGCCAGGCTGACATTTGTAAACACTCTTTACACTGGTATCAAATATTTAAAAGGGATATTTCTACATAAAGAATGCAATATACGTCTGATGTTTTCACATCTAAAACGCCTTTAGGTGCTGATATCGTAATCATTTTTAAACTCTGTTGAAATATTTAAATCGCCATTTGTCTGGCCCCGCGTGCACCGAGCCACCCGAAACGTGAGCAAACACCTCCACTGTGTCCTCCAGCGCCTGCGGCGCCCGTCCTGGACACAGTGTACTGCGTGCAGACCGCGCCTTCAGTGAGCACCCACACCTACGCGCGCGGAGATGTGGCTTTAAAAACGTGCAGCGGCATGTTTACGTCAGGTGCTGTCACTCTCAGGCTGACACCGGCTCACTTTCTCAAGAAACTAAAAAACTTCCAGTAGCTGAAGGATATATGCAAAATCCTCATTACAGTTAAAACAGAAGTGGAAAACAAAAATCAAGACACAATAATAGTGACTGTTTCAAATAATGTATTTAAATAAATACGAGTTGTACCTTTCCCTTAACACCTAATAAGTACTAAGAACTTAAAAAAAAAAAAATAAAAGATGCACAGCATAATTCTATCAACAAAGGCACTCTTCGAAATGCAAGAAGTGGCTGGCTTCAAAACAGCAGGATTTGGAAATTGTATTTTACAAATGCAGAGCTATGCCTAGGAGGGAACGAGACATCTGTACTGTCCGGCATCACGGGCACCTTTCGTGGTCAGTACTGGTTAAATCATAAAGTGTCCTGTAGGAGTGTAGAGCTAGGTTCTGTCACATGCTTAACCGAATTCTCGTTCACCAACAGAACAGAGATGTGTTCAGTATGAAGCCATTCCAGCTGGCAATAGATGGGCAAAGCCGCTACACACAGGAGCCTTTCAACTTGATTCTCAGGAAACTATTAGACTACAGTTTTGCTAATTTCTCAATACTTAAATATCTATTAATAAAGTATAGCTAAATCCTACTTTCCTAAGGTACTACAGAAAATGGTAACTCGCTCATACCCTTGCCTCTCAGTTTCTCGAGATATAAGCACACAGTTATGCTCAAAGCAGAGGTGTTCAAATTTAAATTTAAATGGAAAGCAGAGTGTTGAAGGGTTAACGGTACATTGAACTTTTAGGTATTTTATCACATGTATAATCTGGCTGGTTAACAGGCTAATGTAAGCATACAAGGAAATCAATGTTGGTTAGCCAAAGAAGACATGCACTGCAAATATAATCAACCCCGGGAAAAGAATCAATTCCTTAAAAGCGGCTGCAGAAATAGTGCAAAAGCACAACTTAGGGAGTTAAAGGAAATGGTGAAACAGTCTCAAATGCATTTGGTATTTCAAAAGTATCTCTGAATACTCCACCAGGAACTTCTCTGGTTTCACCATCGTATTTAGACACCCAGGAAGGTGGGCGGAGGGCTTAATTCCTAACTGACTTTTACAGTATTTACAACAGGGCGGCTCAGGCCCCATTCAGGCGGAGCCTCGGAGCCGCGCACTGGGGCGTGTTTATATTTGCACGCGCTCATCTTTGTTTACAGGCTAACCAACCAGGAGGGAGGGTTAGTTGTGCGATGCGAGTGGACTAGTCTAGATGCAACCCGGTCAAGGTGTGCATATACCTTTTTTGTTTCTTTTTAAACTTTTCTTCTTCATACCTTGGTAGGGAAGATTATTGAAGTAAATACACATGAAACAAAAACTAACAAAAGGCACTAAAAATGAACATCAGTATATATGCAAAACCAAAAATACACTACATAGAAAGTAAAAACTGACACTAAATCTGGTGTGGACACAGTGAACAGTCTAGAACCTTGTGTCACATGACAAGCTTTCCTACTAACTGCAACCTGAGGCTCAGGTAGTCCTGTTACTAGCCTATAAGTCTTTTAAGAAGTGAAATAGAAGAAAGTGAATTTGGTAAACAGAACAAATTTCAGTCAGTGGGACACTAGGGTTGGGTTGATTTAAACAAAAGTTTATTTCTCTGGGAAAACTTTTTTGGGGGCGGTGCTTGAGATAGGTCTCATTATATAGTTTAGGCTTTGAACTCACTACGTAGCCCAGACTGGCTTTGAAACTCGTGGCAAACCTCCTGCCTCAGCCTCCGAAATGCTGGCAATTACCGGTGTGCGCCATCACACCCAGCTGACAGCAATCCTTTAGCTGAGAATGTTCTTTAGTTATAATCAATCAGAAAATCATTTAAGAACATAATCACCAGTCTTCAAATGTATGAAATGAAATCATACAACCAAAAATCGTTTCCACAGTTCTTCAATAGATGCTGAAGAAAATAAGAATCTGAAGAACACATGGCCTTACAGGGAAAACAGATAAAGGCTTCTTCTGCTCTTTGAACGGTGTTACAAATATGGTATGGAGCCAGAAGAAATGAATGGTGAAAACTATTACCTCTTGCACGTCAAATATAAAGAGTCAACAGTGTCATTAAAGAAACAGAACAACACATACTGTTTGATGCATTCTGGTATGCCAACATACTCCATGGGAACAAGTTCTGCTAGTTCTGCCAAATTAAAGACGTATCTAATTTTCTGGCTGAATTTTGAGCTACGGAGAGAATAAAGACAACTGCGTCAATATTTCTGACTTAATACTGACATGAAATTTATGCAAGGAAAAGAACTGTTTATAAGTCAAACATTTTAGGAAATTACCTAATAAATGGTCGTGTAACAGCCAGAAGTGTTCTGATAAACCAAGAGGGATGAACAATGATCAGGGATTTCAGGTTTTTCCGTAACCTAAGAGTTAAAGAACATTTATAAATGTCTATAAGTCCCACTGCTAGGAACTGAAGATAAATAGGCTTACATGAAATCCCTGAACCAGCTCCCAGAATCTCTCACTCGACGTGGCCCTCCTGAAGACACGGAGGCGCGCTCCCGAGTCCTGCGGCCCGGCCTGCTGCTTTACAGCCCACTGTACTTCTGTGGCCAAATTCACACCTAGCTATCACTGACTATATCCAACGTCTCCCAGTACGCACTCACTGACTTCAGGACCCTGTAGTCCAGAAAAGGCTAACACAACACAAAAGAAAATTATTTTCACTGTTTTAAAGAGTAGAAAAGCCAGGTGTGGTGGTGCACACTTGTCATGCCAGCACTCAGGAGGCTGAGGCAGGAAGAAGATTGCTGAGTTTGAGACTACCCTGGGCTACAAAGTGAGCTCAAGGCCAGCCTGCACTACAAAGTGAGTTCAAGGCTAGCCTGAACTGCACAGCGAGACCCTGTTTCAAAAAAAAAAAAAAAAAAAAAGACTACAGCAGAACATGATACTAATTTCTTTAACATCATGAAAGGTACAGTTCAGGTAGACAGGTAGAAGAGATGACCAAACAGATAACATGTGTCAGATTTAACACCTGTTCTTAGGAATTTCAGTTGGATGTGTTGGTAGCGCCTTCTGATCCCAGCACTCAGGAGGCTGAGGCAAGGATGGTACCAAAACTCTGAACCCAGCCTAACCTACATGGTGAGTTCAAGGTCAGCCTGAACTACAAAGACCTTACCTCAAAAATAAAACACTTCAAAGTAACCGAATAAAGATATTTATCATGCGTATTTTACACATAAATAAAATGACCACTATGGATCCACAACTTGCCACTCACACTCATATCCCCCCAATCACAAGTGCTAGCTGATGTTCAATAAGGTATGGAGAAGGATCTATTAATGGGGCTGAGTTGATTAAGCTATTCTGAATTAGCCATGGCAAAATCCAATCAATTGATGATTTAATTTTAAATGTTTGTGATGAGGAAAATTATTTAAGAAAGATAAAATATGCTAAGCATGACAAATTAAGTCATACTTAGAAGTAACAGAAAATGTGCTGTGTTCTCCATCCTTTCCCTAAGATAGAAACTGTAGGAGGTATTCACAATGGTATCAGAGAAATAAAGAACGAATTGCTAAGTTTGCTTTGAAGAGTTAGCTGCTCTTGGTAAGACAACTCACAGTTTTATTCGTAATCTTATAAAACACTACCTTTAGAGAACAAAAACACACAATTAAGAAATGTAATTAGGAAATGGGAAAGTGGCAAAACAAAATAAAATGTACTCTAATAAAGACATTGGAAAAAAATCACTCAGTTTTCCACCTGTATTCACATCACCTTCTATCAATTTGCTGATAGCACTTCCTGAGCCACCCCAGACTGGGCATTTTTCTTCGCGTTGTTGCACCGTTTAAGTAAACTATCATGTAGTTTTCTGCTACTAACAGCTCCAAAGTGCCAATAACATACCTGCGAAACAAAGTAAGTTTAAGTCTTACATATCACTGTGTGTACACCTGAACGAGACTTTCCAAATGACACAGCTACAGACAGGGAGAACAACTAAAAACTTAAAGCAGCATTAGCTATCAATATCATTTAAAAGCTATCTTTCTGAGATACATATTGAAATGTTTGTATATTACATGATACGATGTCTGCGATTTGTTCCAAAATTATACAGCTGGGAAAGAAGTGGGAACAAAGTACAAGCTGGTAATTGCTCAAGTGGTTGATGGATAGATTATCTGATCTATTTCTCTTTACTTTTATGGAAGCTAAAATTTTCCACAATAAGGATTTTAAAACTGCAGCAGGGCTGGCCTGATAGGTCAGTGGACTAAAGCTCCTGCTTAGGCAGAGCGCAGCGGCTGGGGTTCGATCCCAGATGTGCTGTGCTGGCCCTGCCTGTGGGGCTCACTGAGACAGCAATTGAGACTGGGTGTGGTGGCGTGTGCCTGTAGTCCCAGCAATCGGGAGGCTGAACACAGGAGAAGTACTACGAGTCTGATCTGTGTAGTGAGACCCTGTAGGCTGTCCTAAATACAGAAAAAACAAACAAAAGTACAGCAACCCGGGAAACAGCTTGCTTCAGTGGAAGGAAGAGAACCACACCAATCCATTACCCTGGGCTCTAGGGGTAAGTGCAACGAAGCCACTCAATGCTGAGGCGAAAGTTACTTCCTCATACTTAATGTCTGCAAATGTAAAATAATGAGGTTGAAACAGACACACTTTCTTTTTTTTTTTTGAATTTAGTGTAGGGTCTACAGGGTCTCACTATGCAGATCGGCCTTGTAGAGATCTGCCTGCGTTCAGCCTCCCAAGAGCTGGGATTACAGGCATGTGCCACCATGCCCAGTCTCACTTGTGCTCTCAGTGCGCCCCAGGGACAGTACCCACATGGCAAGGCACAGCATGGCACGCTGGGGATCGAACCCCGGCCACTGAGTCCACCTAAGCAGGCACTTCAGTCTGCTGAGCTATTTGGCTGGCCCTGAAACATATTTTCTAATTGTAAATGGCCAGTTTTTCTGTTGAACTGGAAAACAACAGTTTCATAATGCTAAAGAATGAGATAAAGAAATCAGCTTACTTTCACTTCCTTAAAGTGCAAATAAAACTGCCTTAGAATTCTGCCCAAGCATTCCTGTTAAGCTGCACTTACTTAAAGAGATTGTCCATCAGGTATCGGTAGTTAGGCTGGCCACTCTCTGGCATGAAGCAGACTGCGAACACCACGATGGCATTTAGTCCATCCCCGTAATATCCTGAAAAAGCAATCAAGGACCAATCACTAGCACGATTTCACTGGGAGGATGCTCTGGCGGGCACCTGCATGGCTGACAGAAAACCTGAATTGCTAAGGGTAAAAAGCGGGCCATATTTTAGCAACTAGACAAGTAAAGGAATATAATCCAAGCAGGAACAACACAGTGGCTAAAAGGCTCTTATACAATATAAGGTTAAAGTGGGTACTTTTAAAGAAAGTCTTATATCCAACAATGCCTAACATTTTATAGAATTTGAATTACTGAAATCAAGATATCTGACAGAACTACTGGTGAAAAACTACTAATCTGCATATTTTATGTCATTTCTATTATTCATAAACAGGAAAAGATCTGAACATTTCAAGAACATTAAATCTTCACTGCAATTCTTCCGTCATAAAACATTGCGTGTGATAACCCCACATAATCAGATGCCCTAATTATTTTCCAATAAAGTGCTCCTTCAGAAAGATAATCAGGCTTGAAGCATATGGCAGTTCTCACGGTCCATTTTTACGAACCATCTGAATTAAGTTCATGGGTGCCTGTGGACTTCCTGATCCAAATTAACCTGTTTTCTTCATCTGAATAAGGTTAAATTAGGCAGAAGCATGTAATTGCAACTATTTAGGTGATTGCTTTTAGATGAATGAAGATTGTAGAAGCAAGAAAGTACAGCTGGCAGAGAGTACACTGAGTGACGACGAGAGAGAAAAGTTAACCTCCGCAACTTTGTGCTCCTCCTCCAGGGCACAAGGGCGCCTTAGGGACATGTGTGTCCTACACAGCAAGCTCCACCCCGACAACCACTGGCGCTGTGCGCTATTCACACAGTGCCTCGGTAAACACCCACGTACAGCACAGCCGGAGGACCAGGCCTCAGGACTCGTGCTCTACTGGCGGCCTGTACATTCCCTGAGGGAAGCAACTAACGTCATCGTTGTGTACTCTGCAAATCTGCAAAGTGGGTTTTCCATAAAAATGTGGAAGTAATTTATTGAAGAAAAGACTTGTGTAAGAATGTTCAGGAAGTTTTACCATAATAGCCCAAACTGGAAATAACGCCCATGTTCAAAAAGGAGAGTGGATATGCAAATGTAATAGAATAAAGTACTATTCATCAATAAAATGGAATAAACTATGAACAAATGCAACAATATGCATGTATCCTAAAAATATGCTGAATAAAGGGCAGTAAGAGTAGAGATGCAGCATGTGACCTGACTTGAATGAAATTCTAGAAGGCAGATCTAAGCATCAGGATGCACATGACAACAGTGGTCATGTTTTTATCTGATAGATACTAGAAAAATTTCTGAGTACCTTTTTCTGAAACAATAATAATGTTTGTATTTAGAAGTTTGGACTATGAATATCTAAGGTTATACAGGGATTTGTCAAAACTCATTGAACCACGTACTTAACATCAAAGTACTTCACTGTATAAATCAGAAATGCATACAAAGGGGAGAAAGTAAACTCGCAGTCTACAGTTAGGTGTAGGAGACCTTTTTCTCAGCTCTTATTTATACTTTCTGCTGAAGCAGCCACTTAAAGAACTGAGCTAAGGGCAGGCCCCTTATTTATACTTTCTGAATGTGCTGCATGCATGTTCATACCAACAATTTTTATATTTAGTTTTTATTCTTTTACTTCAAATGTAGATCCTTCAGATGACATGTTTATTATTCTTTCAAAATTATGTTAACATCTGTAGGGGTGCTTTCTAAGACTATCTAGATTTTGGACGGCGCATTAAAGAAATCTGAACACTCGTTGGACATTCTCACCTCCGTGGCTGATGACTTTCTTGTAGGGCTCGATGGCCTTCATGTCGACCCGGTGGTCCTGCTCCCCAATCCTGAACATGCGCCAGCGCCGCCCATCCCCCTTCTCCTCTGTGGTGGGGTACGCAGTGACTGAGCCTTTCCTAATGACTTCAGTAGTTTTAGGTTTTGGAAGGTCATCTGCCAAAAGATTTTTGAATCACAAATTATTATTTATACAATAAAAACAAAATTATGTGTTAACCACTTTACTATCTGGATTATACAGCTTTTTTCTTTTTCTTTTCTTTTTAAGGTAGGGTCACACTACGTCACCCAGGCTGGCTTCAAACTCCTGGGTTCAGGTGATCCCACCTAGCTGGAACTATAGAAACACGTCAGCATGCCTGGCTATTCAGAGAATTTCCATCATATCATTTGTGGAATTTGAAATTTTCTTGCTTAATAAAGAAACTTGGTCTTTATATTAAGGCCATTTTATGTCTTTAGAATTCAGTTTCTAGAAACTTAGTGCCCAATTCAATAAAGCATCTAATCCCTAATCCAGTGCAATTTATCTCCAAAAGTTCAGGAAAGGTAATCTGCAAAACCATCGCAATCTTACGTGGTCCTACAATGGCAGTCAAGACTGTGCTCATGGCATCCTGTCCGCGACAGTTACTCTACAGGTTACTCCAGGTGACGGACAGCCAAGTGCTCTCAGAACGTAAATTCCTAACACTAAAATACCAGATAGAAAGTGGTTAACGGCTCCGTGCTCATTTTGCATGTGATCAGTTTGATAAAGCAGAAATGTGTGTGTATATTCTGAAGAATACATGCAAAAGTCTACTTAAAGTAATATTAAGCAAAGAACAAGCACCAATGATTAGGTACAATTTGTGTTTTGAGACCGCAATTTAGTTGATTTTTAACAAAGTAATGATTTTCAAAATTTTAGTATCATAGTCCTTACCAAAAGATGGGGGGAGGGGAACCTACTGCATGTTAGTTGTTTCCAAGACAAAGCTGTTAACGGAAAATATCCTTCCAGGAAATGACTACAGCAGCATTAAAGAAGGAGACAAAACACATAGGCAGAAAACTATTTCAGTATCTTTATAAAACATTGCTTATTACTGGACTGCTTACTGAATCAGTAAAACAGGGAAGGAAAAAAGCAACAAAAGATACAGCATACCACTTTTTTCTACCGATAAAATGCCTGGTGCCTTTGAAGCGAGGATCATTTTAAAGATGGTACATATAAGTTATTAACAACTGTATAAAGATATTGTAGACAGCAATGATGTAATTCAAGAAAGCATGCAAAGCGAAATACATGCTATTTCCTCTGAATTCCAATTAAAGCAATGAAGGTATGAGGTATGGAGGCTAAGTGCCCACATTAATTCAAGTTGGTCAACGTGCAAAGTAAAGTACTAACAGGCAAACCTACCTAAGAATCATCCCTCAACCTCTCTTCAGAAGACCTTCTCTGTAAACCCTCAACTACTTTCAGCACATTTCCCGTTATGTCTGCTGAGTTTTCTACTTACTTCATCAACTAAAAAATTATGTCATAATTCCCAGCCAGTGTTTCTAAGGAACTTATGGAAAATGAAACTTCGCCCCACTGGTCAATTAAAGTGCTGAAAAAGTTTGGAAAAGTACAGAATATGCAACTGCTTGCAGGATTTTGTTTCTTAGTAACACAAACCTATGAACTTTTGAAAGACTAACTTTTGAAACAAAATCTTTTAAAACAGTGATTCTAGAAGGCTTCTCACCAAGTTTGAAGGTTTACCAATTATCCTCATTCTCCTAAAGAGAACACCTCTGTACAAACTTGTATGAGTACAAAGACAGACCTTTGCAAGCAGAGATCAGGGCAGAATGGCAGCAGTTACCTTCCCACTCAAACTCGTTGCTGTTCTCCGACGGGGTGTCCAAGCCATCCAAGTCGATCTCTCCACTTTCATCCAAGTCGTCTGACAGCACAGAGCCATCGCTAGGATCCAGAGTCAGGCTAATGTCTGGAGCCATTAATTTCTTTCTCACTTTATTCCCATTAACTTCTGGTGAGTCTAGTATTGGGAAACAAACAAAAAAACATTACAGGGAATGCTTCAGATCAGAGACGGTGAACCTTTTAGAGGCCAAGAGCCCAAATTCCTCCTGCCACTGCCTGGCTCTACTACTGGCATCGCTGATCTCGAGCACGAGCACAGCCCCGACGCTCAGCTGCTGGGGTGATGCTCGGCCACGTGGCTGGCACGGCAGCACAGAGGGCTCTGAATGCCTGCAGCATCTGTGCCCCAGGTCTGCCACTGCTGCTTTAGATGCTCAAGTTGAATAAGAGAAACACTTCAGCCATTTCGAGAAAAACAGGAAACAATCCCCCTCCACCTCCCAATGGTAGCAAAGTTATTTGAAAAAGCAAAAAGAGCTAAGGAGAAGCCGGCAAGTTTGGGCAGAGCAGAAGAGGAAAAAGCAAGGTGAAAGTACACCCTGGAGGAAAAGGATGGCTACTGTGAGGAAAGCCAGGACAGCGAGCTCCTCTGGTACCTGTCCTTTCGGGCTAACCTGGAGAGGGCCCTTGGGAGCGTCTACAAGGATCACAGGAAGTATGCTGAGAGTCCGTGCCTCAGGCTGACGTCACGTCTAGGCCAGCCGTCTGTGTGTCTGTTCTGAGTTCCCAGGAGAAGCCCACCGCAGGGCTTTGGGAACTGTTCTGTGCACGTTTCAGAATCTTACCATCAAAGAGGTCACCAGCTACTTCCTCAGCCAGCTTTGCAAACCTTAATCTGCTGTCTCATTTCCCCAAGACACACATATCCCCGTGATTCTTTACAGAGTGCTGGGAGAAGGAGCTCTCTGTCTTCTACAGCTTCTTCAGGGAGAAAGGGATCTCGGCCCTGCCCTTGGGGCATTCTGTGCTCTCCAACTCTCAGAGTGCTGTGTTCACGGGCTGGACTGAAGAAAGAAACACCGGGTCTCCTCTGGGCTGGCTACGCCAAGTAACGCCTGGCACCAGGTAGCTCCTTCTAAAAGTGGCTCACCAGATAAATGTTACTGGGCTCTGTGGTGCTTGTGGCTCCTGGAGTTTGAGTCTGGGTTCTTTTCTCAAACAAAGAATTTGGGTAAAACAAGTAAAAAAGCAAAGTTTAAAAAAAAAAAAAAAAAAAGCAAAAGTACAGAGTATGGGAAAAACTAGCCCTGTACAGAGAGCCTGGGCTGAATAAAGGGGAAAAAAGCTCAAAGCACACCCTGGAGAGACAAGATGGGCTACTGTGAGGAATGTCCTGAAAGCCCCAAGCATGGACTGCTCACATTCGGATTCCGAGCACCACAGCTCTACGTCACTGACAAGAGATCGAAGAGGTACCCGTGCTTGTTCTTTAAAAAAACAAACAAGCAAACAAACAAAAACAATAGAGGCTAACTTTACAATCACATCTACCTAAGGTCAACTCCCATCTCCTATAGAATTTCAAAAATCAAGGCTGTTTTGGAAAGTTACATTTTTCCAAAAAGGCTTCCTTGAAGGCTAATTTATCCTGTACTTCCCTCTGACAGTAAATGCCCAGTGTTGGTCTTTACTTTGGGACAAAAATGAAAAAGTATAGAATACTAAAGATTAGTGTAAAGCCCACTAGAAGCACTAAGGTCTCACCAGGCTGGCTCTCCGATCCAGGTACACCAAGCACATCGGCTTCAATGCTGTCATCTTCTGGTAAAGGTCTAGAAGACACAGACACACTTTTATTACAAGAAAACCCATGTATCTATAGATATCGGAAGTTCAGAGGTCCGTGAAACACAACTTACAGAAACAATTATGTGGGAAATGGAGTAAGGCCATTTCCTTAAGCTTTAGCAACTTACAAACTAGTTGTAAAGAAAAGACTGGACTGCTAGAGTTGATATAAGTAACACAAAAGCAGTATTAGATTCCTTGCACCACAGCACTAGTGTAATTATAAAATGTATGAGGAAGCTCAATTTTACTTGTGCTGTCAGCCACAGCCACAGTTCTTCTGAGTTCTGCACTTTGGGCTGGGGAGATAGCTCAGCGGTCTAAGCACCTGCCTGGCATGCACAAGCCATGCCAGCCCCAAAACCAGGTGTGGTGGCACATGCCTGTAATCCCAGTGCCAGGGAGGCTGAGACAGGAGGACCACTACGAGTCGGAGCTGTGTAGTGAGACCCTGCACCAAATAAATAAATAATGAGTGAATGAATGAGAAAAACTTGAGTCCAGCACTTGTACACTGCTCTCATGTGCTGTGACACAGCTGACCCATTAGCTGGTTACAGTTCCTTATGAGTACTTGGGTATCTTCTGACCATAACCATGTAATCAGCATTTCTTTTTTTAAAAACTGAATGTAGTACAGGTTCTACAGGGTCTCATTACACAGATTGTACTCACAGCGATTCTCCCATTTTCAGCCTCCCAAGTGCTGGGATTACGGCCGCACACCACCATGCCCAGTCTCAATTGCAGTCTCAGTGTCACGGAAGCAGGGCTGGCACAGAACACTGGGGATCGAACCCCGCAGGCACCTTAGCTGGCTAAGCTATCTGGCTGGCTCTGCAAGTAGCATTTAATTTTCTTTTTAAAAATAATTTTATTGAGAAACAAATAGCAATGAAACAGTTTCAAAACCGGTCACTAGCACAATTTCAGTAATTACTATGCAGGCAGCATTTAAATAGAAGGTGGGCTCTGTAAAATTGTCTAGATGGCTGGCCAGATGATAAGATCCTTGTTTATTTATTAACTAAGTTTTCTCCTTGGATCCCCCCCCCCAGTTTAAAACTTCTGAAGATCAAAGACCCTTCTCCTAAAAGCCTCTCAGATTCTAATTTTAATTAGTTAACTAATTTTTAGTGGTACCAGGGATTAAACTCGGGACCTTGCACTTGCCAGGCAAGTCAAATTCTAATTTTAAAAGTATTATATCAGAACACTGTGTACAAGGGCCGGCCAAACAGCTCAGCAGATTAAAGCGCCTGCAAGCAGGGGCTGAAGGTTCGATTCCAGGGCCTGCCATGCTGGCCCTGCCCTCAGGGTGTGCTGAGATGGCAACTGAGACTGGGTGTAGTGGCATGCGCCTGCAATCCCAGCACTTGGGAGGCTGTAAACAGGAGAATCTCTACGAGTCCAATCTAATAGTGAGATCCTGAACACCCTGTAGACCCTTCCCTAAAATACAAAAAACAAATCAACAAACCACTGTGTACAACAAAACACTTGAAACTTAAATGGTCAAAATAAACATGAAAAGCTATAGCTTATATACACGTTAGGCTGGAAAATTAGATGTAAAAGAGTCATTTAACTGTTGGAAAGAAACTTTCATGTCCTAGTACCAAATAATCATTTACAACACTTTATACACACAAATGACACCTCAATACAGAACATGTGAAGTTCTGTCCTAAGTCTTCTCACTGAAAAACCCTGCTCACATTGGAAAATCTTCATCTTGCCATTCTTCTTTCAGTTCCACGCCTTCCATCTTCAGCCTGGATTCAACGTCAGCTGCAAACTCCTGATGATCCAGAGAGCCAGTGGCCTGTGTGGAGAGAAGGGCCACAGTGACTCAAGGTTCCCTTCCTCTTTATCTGTTGAAGGGGTGTATTAATATACATCCGTTCACACCTCCACTGGTTTACCTCAGTGGTCTGGTCACAAAACCAATTTACAGGGTTGACATTTTGTATGAAAGAATTAGAACAGGGGCTGGGGAGATAGCTCGGCAGTCTAAGCGCCAGCCTGGCAAGCGCAAGGTCCCAAGTTTGATCCCCAGTACTGCATGCCATGTGGGCGGCACATGCCTGTAATCTCAGTGCTGGGGAGACTGAGACAGGGACTGTCCAAGTTGGAACTATGTGGCAAGACCTGGTATCAATAAAATAAATGACCAAAAAATTAGAACAGAAAATAGCCAAAAGTACAGATAATATATAGAGTGCTATTTGTAGTGAGGATAGTGTTAAGTAAAATATTTGTCTTCAGGTACATATGTACATTCGGAGTCTGGATGCTATTTCATGAGTTACACAAAAAATTGAGGTGGAGCAAAAAATGAAAGCAAATATATTCTATACTGCAGTGTCATAATTAAATATTCCATCTGTTGGATAGAGGTCATTCTAGAAACGGAACACTAGTACACATTTACACTTGCTATTCAAACTTTAATTCTGGTTCCTATAAGGAACAGCATAAGTGGAAATCTCCTTATTTCACAAACAGGTGCCTAGAGATATTCCTGGTGAAGAAATAGGAAGCCATGAACATCAACTGGTAAACAGCACCGCAGAAACAGTGGCAAATATACAGGCAAGCAGTGTAAATGAGTAGTTCATTTAGGATCAATTGATAAAATTATTAAAAAAATAATAGCAACACATAGTTAAGATTTCCTAAAACATCACTAATAATACTAAAAGTTACAAGTGGTTGAGACTAGAGAGGAGGAAAGAAAGTGGTACGGGGAACAAGGATTTGTATTATAGCAATCCTTTCTGTTTTCATCAAAAGTCCTTCTTCACTGTTCCATTTCTAAAAACAGCAACTTTAAAAAATACTTAGCAAAAAATGATACGCACCATTCCTATTCCTATCAACTGTCCTCGAACAATGAGGTGGGCATGTTTTACCGTTGTCCTACGTGCTATGATGTTACAGTACTTAAAAAATTAAGACAGTTGCACCAGAAAAAGAAAGTATTATATTCTAGAACACCACGATTTGAACAGGAATCTGCGGGAGGGCTAGATTCCACACAGGCTGAAGTCGCGCCTTCATCAAGAGCGGGAGGCACCCTCCCAGCCCAAGTGCTTGCTCACATTCAGGGAGAGGCTTCGTTCCCAAGCCAATCGCTAGCACAGAGAACACGGATGAGAGTGATGGTTCCTAAAGCAAAACATGCGTTTTGCAGAGCCAGTTTCTCTACACACAGGAGGATGCTATTCTTAATTCTGTGAGAACACAAAGAGCAAATTTTGAAAAAATAGTAACAAACATTTAACATAATCTTGACTCTGTAGCCATTTGTTTCTTACGACTTCTACTTTAACATAGTTTTATTAATTACTTTATAGACTACTTTTTTTTTTTTTTTTTTTGCGGAACCAGGGATTGAACTCAGGCTCTTGTGCTTGCCAGGGAAGCGCTTATTCCACTGAGCCATCTCCCCGGCCCCTATAGACTACTTTTTGATGGTCATTTTCTCCTTAGAAGAGGGAAGCACTGAACGCACCAAATAGCTCATTTTCTTTAACACACACGACAGGAAAGGGACCAGAGTTATAGTTAACAAGAACAAATACGTGAGTCTGGTACTAATTACTCCAGAATTATGCTCACGCACCAGCAGGTGAAAATACGATCTTCCCGATGTCAACTCTCTGTAATTCCCAATGTCCACTTTTGTGACGCCTCTGGCACCCACGCTAACAGCAGGGGCTGGGGAAGCTCAGTGGTGTAAGTGCCTGCCTGGAAAGTACGAGTCCTAGTACCACCACAAAACCCAAAACCAAAACCAAACCCAAACTAAAGTAAACAAGTACACTTCTGTACATTCAATAATCAGAGAACTTTCCCCTCAGCTCCTCTTTCTAGAGGGTGTTGAAAGGCATGAAGATGTTCTGGATGTCTTAGAAATACCTCAAATAACCAGAAAAAAGCATAACATTTCAGACAAGATCGGGCGTGTACGGGGTGGTACGCGGCAGACCGGGTAACATGTCTCATAAAATTCCAGAGGACAACTCACGCCTTGCAGCTGCTTTACAACTTGAACAAGTTCATCACCTGAAAACTGCTCCTGCGCACAGGTAAGCTCACGTCCTCCGGCCCTGGGCCTCCTATTTGGGCGTTCACTGCTCTACACAGAGTGGGGCGCTGTCGTGGACGTTTAGTTCAAGGGATAATTACACCAGTTAGAGACACAGGAGAAATAGAAACCTTAGCTCTGTCATTTCATCAAGAGTCTTAGGGGGAAAGCACACCAGGTCGATGGAAACAACACAACTGCCGCAGAGTACAGCTCTTGGAAGCACTTGGACAGCAGGCAGCTGGAAGAACAGGAACCAGGAAGGAGTTAATCAGCACACATCGCTTCGGAGGAAATCAGCACACTGCTGACCGCCAAGTTAACTGTAGCTATTTCCCTTTTTTCTTTTTCACAGATTTACAAAAAATCAGAATGGGAAAATAACACTTTGTTATGCTATTTGTTGAAATAACCTAACACAACAGAAATAATGTAAGTTCTCAATAGGCAGGTGGTAGCAGCTGCCCAGCCTTCCTCACGCCTGTCGCCTCTGGAGGCTATGAACTCTGGTCTCTAACATTAGAGAAGTTAAAATCAAGTAGCTATGGGGAGATGGCTCAGTGGAATAAGCGCTTCCCTGGCAAGTGCAAGGGCCTGAGTTCAATCCCTGGTTCCGCCAAAAATAAATAAATAAATAAATAAAAAAATAAAAAATAAAAAAAATAAAAATAAAAAAAATAAATAAAATCAAGTAGCTAATGGAATGTCTCCTGGGACAGCATGAGGGGAGGCGGGGTAAACCCAATGGAGATGAAGAAGGGGCTTACTACATGCAGGCTAGCAAAATAAACAAAAATGAGTATCAGAACTGTAACTTGAAGACTGTACACAGCAATTGTGCTACTATGCGATTTAACACTGGCACAAGCAACGAGCACCTATGCTGAAAGCAATTATAGCTGGCAGAAGGGAAACAGGCAAAATTTCACTTGCTCATTTTCAGAAAGGTTTTATTCTGATATTTACATTCACCTTTCAATAAACAGTCTACATGTTTATGAAGATCATAAAACACTACCCCCCATCTCCTAGAGGTTTAGTTGATACTCCCTTCAAGGAGATAGAAAGAAATGAGATGCTGTATCAAAAATGTTAACAGAAAATTTAAAGAAAAATTAGAATGATGCTGATTTTTCTCAAGAATTGTGAAAATAAGCACAGAGCAATTATGACATCTAAAAAGTTGCAGTTTATGGGGTCTTGCTTTGTAATGCAGGCCGGGCCTCCCAACTTGAGCCCATCCTACCTCAGCCTCCAGAGTGCTGGGATTACTGGTGTGTGCCACCACATCCAGCAAAAGCTACAGTTATCAGTACATACAACATACTGGAGATGGTGCTATCTTTAAAATGATTAGAACCTAACACTTAATCTCTAACACAGTTGTTTATATTAGTTACCATATAAAATTAGTTTGGGAATGACCTATTCTGCTTTTTAATATACAAATTCAACAAGATACCTTTCAGCCAAGGTTAATTTACTGTACCTAGCTATGAGAAGCCACTTCTTTCTTTCAGGCCAGGAATCAAACTCACACCCTGTCCCTTGCCAGGCAGGTGCTGTGCCCCCAAACCACATCCCCAGTTCCTGAATCTAGATATATGTAGTTTCTTTCTTGGATGCTTTCCTCCCTTATCACTCCTATAAGCACTACTCCAGACAGAACGGACAGATCCACTGTTCTGCTTTTACACCATCATCTCATATACTTCAATCAGCAAGTTTATGAGGTAGGACACTGGTGTTATCATCCCCCTTTCGGCTTCCACATGAGGAGAAAGGCTTGATATCCGGGAGCCCAGGGCTGACCAGAACTGTTTCTAATAAGCACAATGCGTCCAGTTCCCTGGCAAGCTTATACAAAGTCTGCAATGCCAGAGTTGGTTACTTGTAGCTTCCCAAGTCCAGTGATGCCCAAAGGCCACAAAAATACTGATCTAGGATGATCTGGATCAAGTAGTAAGTGTGCATAAGTCAGCCTGCTGCATTTCCGGGCTGAGCCCGACACTGCTGGGCTGCACTAGAGAAGACTAAGAAGAGTTTAGAGGTAAATGTGAAATGGTGCGAACTAGTAGTGCAAGGTGACCCCAAACAAAACAAAACACCCAACTGGCCTGCAGGGTGACTTAACCGGGTAATTTCAAATGTAACTCAAAACCAAAAAAAAAAAAAAACCCATACAACACAAAACCACCCCCAAACCTTACCCATTCACAAATTACAGACTTTCTTCTATAGTTGCAGAAATTAGAATCTGCATTAGAAATGTGTACACCGAGTTGAAAATAAGAAGTCAAGCATTAGGAAGAGGAGATCCTAACGTGGGGGCGGGGAGGTGAAGATGAAAAAAGCAGTACATTAACGTGCAATCACACATTTTATTCAACTGGCTAAATGGAAGGCAGCCTGAGTGTGAGCTCCACACCAAAAGCTGCGCCCTCTAAGAGGTCCCAGGCCAAAGGAAGTTTGCGAGCAACGTGATAAGGACCTAAGAAGCTTCTGACTTAATTGAGTTCCTTTAGTAGTCCTCCGGGGCAACAGACGCACCCAGGAAATTCAGACCATTTTTGCCAGGTATGGGAGTTGAAGGAAGGCGGGGGCTCGGCTTTTCGCGCACGCACTCTCATTTAGTGCGGCCGGCTCGCGAAGGTCTACAACAGACAGCCCTGATCACTCGGGTTTCCGCGTCTATCCCCCGGGGGGACGAGGCTCGCAGAAGCCCAAGTGTCTTTGTTCTGCGCCAGGACGGACGCCGGTCGTAAACACGGAGCCGACGCGCCCGTCACCGCACCCAGGCCAGGGCGGCGGGGTCGCGGAGGAGGAAGGAAGGCTGCGCCCCGGCCCAGCCAGCCCGGGCGGAAGGGAGAGGGCCAGGCCGCGAACGCAGGCACGGCGGGCCAAGGGCGGGCCCCGCGCAGGGCGTGCTCCGGGAAGCGCCTCCGGAGCGGGCCCCGCGGCGGCTGCGCCCGGCCTCGTCTCCCGGCCGCAGAAGCGCGCGGCTCGCCCCCGGGACGGCCACCCCAGGCCCGCGCGCCCAGCCCTCCCGGGCCGCGCTCACCCCGGAGGAAGCCTCGGCCCCCTCGTCCTCTTCGCCCCTCCAGACCGGCGACGTGGGGCTGACGGCCAGGTCGCAGAAGTCGGCGCCGAGCGGAGCCCGCTCCTCTCGGTCGGCGGCGGAGACCCCAGCCTACTTCCCAGCCGCAGCCGCGGACAGCACAGGTAGCCGCTGACCCGGACGCACAGGGCCGCCCGGCGGAAGTGACGACACCCAGACCGCCCCCGGGCGCGGCGACGGGCGGAAGTGGGCGTGGCGTCCTCGCGCGCCACTTCGAGGCCCGCCTCCGCGTCGCCCCGCCCGCCCC